AATGCGGAATCGAGGCACCGGTCGAGAAAATTCACTTTAACACCCTTAAAAACGGGTTACACTAAATACAAATTACGAATTATCATCCCCTTGACTTTAAACCCTTATAACTCATGAACGGACGGTCCAATAACCGTTTTTACGGACGTTTCAGAAACCTTAAAGTCTAAGCTAAATATGCATATTCATGAACAATGTTAAAAAAATTTTCTTCACCCTTAAAATCGCTAAAATATAAAAAAAATCACATTTTTTTGGGAAGTTGCCACATATTTCGGCCATTTTAAGGGTGAAAAAAATTTTTTAAACGTTTTTCATTGATATGTATCTTTAGCTTAGATTCTAAATTTTTTAAATATTTCTTAAAAATAATTATTAGATGACTTGTATACGAGTTATAAAGGTCTAAAGTCGAAGTAAAGATGATTTTTTGACCTTACTCCGACTTTGGACCATTATAACTCGTGTACAAGTCATCGAATAATGACTTTCAAGAGCTGTTTAGAAACTTTAGAATCTAAGCTAAAGATACATATCAATGAAAAACGTTTAAAAAATTTTTTTCACCCTTAAAATGGCCGAAATATGTGGCAACTTCCCAAAAAAATGTGATTTTTTTTATATTTTAGCGATTTTAAGGGTGAAGAAAATTTTTTTAACATTGTTCATGAATATGCATATTTAGCTTAGACTTTAAGGTTTCTGAAACGTCCGTAAAAACGGTTATTGGACCGTCCGTTCATGAGTTATAAGGGTTTAAAGTCAAGGGGATGATAATTCGTATTTTGTATGTAGTGTAACCCGTTTTTAAGGGTGTTAAAGTGAATTTTCTTAACCGGTGCCTCGATTCCGCATTTCTACGCATCAAGACGAAGAGAATGAGTGGTCAAACGTGAAAATCGGAGAACTTTTATTTTTTGGCCAAAAAAAATGGAAAGGGGTACCACTTGCCATTTTTTAGGGTCGAAAAATCAAAGTTGTCCGATTTTGATGATCGAGGACTCATTCTCTTCCTCTTGATGTGTAGAAATGCGGAATCGTGTCAAACATATAAAAAATTAATTATTTCACTCCTAAAATGGGGTAAAACGGGAACTTGCTCCAATTTTAGCATAAATCATCCTGCGATCATGATTTTAGCTATGTGCACTTTTTTCCTCTCATCCACATCTTTCATTTAAGCCCTCAATCAACCTCGTAGCATTATTAGGATAGAAGTTATCCACATTTCCATGTGTTACAGTTTATCGTAAATATCTCGAGACCTATAACTCCAATGACTGCGACAGCTAGTGTTTTGGAATCGTCTCATCCAGAATTTTCCGATGATGCCCATGGTTTTATGATTCAAGCATAAATCATTATTTTAAGATTCTTCCGACAAGAACATTTAATAAGTATAAGTTGCAGTACAACTATGGGAAAAAATGAATATTTTATTATACTTCTAAAAATATTTTTCAAAATACTTCTATAACATTAACTAGAAATGATCATTAATTGAATATTGCAGAACTGTTAAAAACAATTTATTCTAAATACTGAAATCACGATGATTATTAAATTCTATCATAGTTGACAATATTTCTGATGAAATTTCCACCGAGAATAAAGAATTTATAAAGCCGATTACAAGTAGTACTTTTTCCGATTCTTGTTTCACGTAGGATTGTAAATGTACGTGAACGAGACTATTTACCAAAAGGATTTTTTCCGGCTGTGTTTCATGCTCTATATGACTGATACGAATTTATATATATAACAATTACGCACTGTTATTTATTTATTTTCCTTTCATTAAAGAGCAAAGTAATCAAATAATATTGATTAATATTTTTTTAACTATGATACCGATGTAAATTTTTTTAAAAATAAATGAATAGTTTTCTTTTAAATTAATCTCCACTTCCTAAAGTATCTATCAACTTTTCTATGTGAATTGCACTTAAAGTTTATCGTCTAACATAATTGAACATTTATCAAATCATTTTACTTCATATAACTTTTATTCAGAATTAATCGAATACGAGCTACTGAACAGTTTCTTATATCAATAAAATAGTCGATGAACATTTAAATATATAATAATATATTACTTTTAAGGTAGTTATCCTGCAAGAGCAATCACTTATAATTCTTTTTAAACTGCATTTCTTTATAGAATAACAAAAAAAAAATTTTTTTTAGAAAAAAAAATGATCTCTGTTAGAGTTAATGAATTTGGAGGTTAGGCACCTAGGGAGGAAAAACATTTTTGTCATACCTGTGTGGAAAATTAAACTTTTCTCTAATGGAAAAGTGAACTTTTCGCGTGGTAAGATGAAAAGATATTTGCAATTGAAAATTGCAATTTTACTATGCAATATAATAATAGAAATTAACCTGTTATAGTTTTTCAACAAATATTTAAAAAAGAAATTTACGATTATGTTTAAAAAAAAAAACAGAATATTAATGAAAATATAATTAATGCTTCGATGAAATTTCACATAATGTTAACGTTTAATTATTGAAAAAATAATTAATAAAATTAATTATCAGCTGTACCAAGAATTGTTTTGAATTATAGAAAAAAAAAGTTATCAAAAATACTTTCAATAATTATTATTATTAAATATTACTTACGCCGTATTATAAATAATTTCTTAATATAATTTCACGAAAATTTGGATAATTTTTTTTTCTTATATAATTAAATTTCTCTAGCTGGGACAAAATAAATTCTGATACGAGCTCTCGAGAGATAACTACCTCGAAGTAAATCTCCTGTTATTTAAACAACATTGAAAAAAAATGTGTAATTTAAAAAAAAAATTTATTTCCACAGTTTTGCTGGGAAAATGGACAGAAGAATTTGGTGAGTCGAATGAAGAATATTGAGGAAAAGAGATATCTTAACTCGAGGCGACGTCATAAACGCCAAGCGCAGGAGGCACTTGTATCTTCGGGGTCGTTGGTAACAATGAGACAAGCTGAGTAGAGAGGTTGGTTGTCTGTAAGGTAGAGAAGGAAACAAGAGAGTGAGAGAGATGTAGAGCAGGGTTTGTGCAGCTACAGCGGAACATCCCCCTTGGCTCTTCCTATCTCCGTTGAAACCCCGCGTTTACTGTACCTAAGAGGCTTCGCAGGGGTGCAATGATCCCGGAGATTGTATACAATCACTAAAACATGAGATAACTATAGATCCTATTTTACTATGAAAATGAGCAGAGAAATGAACTTTTTGTTCAACTCAACTTTCGAGGTCAATATTTGATATTATTTTTTATGGATTAATTAGACAATTTTCATTTTGGTTTTATTTAAATACGTCGAACTTTGATAATCCTGAGTTATAGCGGATTACAGTGTCAATTTGGTTGAGTATCAGGTGCAAACATCGAGTCGTGAATATCCAATGACATTAGCAAATTGCTGATAGTCAATTATTATTTATTGCATTATAGTTTTATCGTTATTTATATCTTTATTATATGACACTGTTTTGTAAAGGATTTTTACATTGGATTAAATTTGTAAATAAAATAGAAAAAAATTGTACAAATAAAAGTAAATCAAAAATCAATCGACTGAGAATTTTTCTCTTTCTGAAATCTTCATCAATATCAATATTTTATTTTACACCTGAGATTTTACCGACTCTCTAGAGTATTTGGAAAAACTATAAAATAATAAAACAACGTTAAAATATAGAGAGATTAGTTGATCGTGGCATGAACCTCCGAGCTTATGTCCCACCTAGTCGTTTCTTCTCGTAACAATAATTTGTCGTTATGAAATAACGACAGAAGGAAGGGTAATATGAACGGGTTGTGAGAGAAATAGAGAAGGTATGTATATTGTATCCAACCTCAGATCTTTATCCAAAAAATTCGATAGCGTAATAAATGTTGATAAAATAAAATTTTATTAACGAATAATACCTTTAAGTTTGTTACTATTGAATTTTACCTCTTTTATTCGTTTCCTTTTTTTTTTTTTACATTTTAAAAATATGTGATAATAAAAAACAAACATCTCTTATCGAAACTAAAAAGAGTTATTTTAAAAATGTCTTAATTTAAAATAAAAATAAACATTGAAAAATATTTGTATTTTAATTTGTGAATTGATTTTAATTCAAATATTTCGCGGTAAGCTACGATTAATTCACCCTCTGGCCATCCCCTCAAGTTCCATCTCCAACTAAGGTCCTTCCTCTTCCTCTTCTGATGCTCCCGGGCGCACAATTGAGCATCGTGAAATAGTGAGAGTGCAGGGGGTGGATCCCAAGTCTACCACAGAGAATAATGTTAATGAAATACAGATAGGATCTCTATACAAGAAGCTGTGAGAATGCTTGTTGGAAATTTCTTGTCCTTCTTACATTTTATATAAATAGAAACTCATTTTTTATTTTTTCTTAATTCACCAAATTTCTTTTAGAGATAATATGACTTAAAGTTTTCATTAATTTAATATCACTTTTATGAATAATAATTAATGAAAGATTATTTTTATTTAACAATTATCGAAATCATCTCAGGACAATTTTAATTCCGTTGACGTTATGCATGAACTGCTAAATAGCACTCCTCGATAAGAGAATAGTTTGTGTGCGTTCTCAAGTGAAGCTACAACTGCAAAATTTGGTAACTCGACTGTAAGTGGACAAAGTTTATTTTTATTGTTTTCATACTGAAGGGAAAAAATATTTTTATGAATGAGGAAAAATAATTCAATCGTAAAAAGATGGGAAAAAAAACACACACACACAAATTCAAGACTGACCCAAGTCGTTATGTATTCACTTGAGACTTTTGTGTTTTCCAGTATGAGTAACTCTTGGAGGCAGCGATCCATAGAACGTTATGGTCTGAACATCCTTCGCAACTTGCTGAGGACCTCCAAGTCTCGTTTTCCTGGCACACCCTCGTATTTCAAATTTTATCGCTTGAGAATGTTAAGACGACCTTAAAGCTAGACCATATCATTTCAGAAAAATAAATGATACTTGATATTTTTTATTTTTAAAATGACTTTTCTTTTATTGAAAAATAATTATTGTATAATAATAAATGTCGTAATTAAATAAATTTTATGTTTCATATATAGGCATTCCTTCAATATTGCCTGTTGGTCCATAATTACAAACTATTTGAGTAGTATACCAACGATTGTTTTTCTTAAATTTTATCAGTCCACATCCTACATACTCACTATCTGCCCAAATCATCTGGGTATAATGTAAAGAAGGATTGTCTCTAGAATAATAAATATCAGAACATCATTTTATTCAATAAAAACATTCTGAACACCTTTGATACAATCAATTCCAAATAACAGAATTATTATTTCATTTATTGAACATCTTACCCCATTGACTTGACATGTTTTTTATCCAAATCATTGACTTCCTCATACCATTGCATGATAAGACTTGTCATATTGTTTGGATATTTTTTTGAAGAACTTGCAAAGGCAACATTCTGACCCACCTCGAATCGTTCTTAACAGAAATGATAAAATAAAAAGATTTCAGTAAGTAAAATATAAATAGGTTATGTTAAATTAAACTGATACCAGTATCTCGACAGTCATCATGACCAAATACACATTGATTGGCCCATCTTTGAGCAATAGTTGCCAACTCATCATCCCATGTCTAAATCAAAGATTGATATTGGTATAAATGTTGATACCAGATTTAATATAGAAAGATAGAAACTTAAATTAATTATTCTAATTACCACAGGACCCATATTCGTTGCAGGTGGTTGGGGTCCAGGATCACCTCTCTTCTCATTTCCACATGCAACAAAATGTCTCAAGTTATTATGAGTATCAATAACTTCTTTCTTTTGATTGGATGACATTCCTGATTCAATAATTGATTTGTCACCACATTCAGGAGCATAATCTGAAGACTTTGTATTATGAATATAACCATTCAGTTATTCATTTTAAAAATAAATTTAAAAATATCTTGATGACATTTTTAATAATAGCTTACATATCGACACATTGTATGAGATTTATCAGGACATGATTTCAGGTTACAGTATGAAAGTGATAATGTTTCATAAGTCATAGTATTAATCACAATTAATAATATTCTTCCCCACGCGAATGAATGCATCATTTTAAAATTTCAAGTAGTATTTGTAAAAATAATTTTAATTATTAATCACAATGTTTAAGAAGTGTAATTAATTTATTACTGACTAACTGTTTTGTGAAGGAAAAAAATTGTTTAAAGTATTTTGTTTTTGTATACTGTAAATATTATTCAATAATTTTTTATGATGTATAGTTTGTTTGATAAAAATTAGGATGATTTGACAGCAATTTAATTGTTAACTACATTCACAGTAATAAAAAACAAATAAGTTACGTCAAAATATTTATGTTTAAAATAAAAATGATTTTCCTTGTGGGTATTACGTCAAATATCATGTCACAAAGTTACGGAATTGCATCGACAAAAATTGCAATTAACGTCTGTTAAATTTAAAATGTTCATTAAAACAATATTACACAGCGTTTTTTCGAGAAGGAATTCATCAAGTGTTTAATATTAAATCAATTATATTTAAGTTATTTTTTTCTTATCTAAGATGATGCAAAGTTATGTATATTATTAATAACATGATAATTATTATTGATTTAATTCTTAAGAAGTTTCATATATTGGTTGTCCTATGATATTTCCAGCAGGTCCATAGTTGCAAACTAGATAAGTAGCGAACCAACCGTCCTTCTGATAATTAATCAATCCACAACCTATGAATTCAGAATTAGCCCACACCATCTGAGTGTAATGTCCTGCAGGATTATTACTGGCAATAATATTTTAGAAATTATTTATTGAAATTGTTTAATGTTGATTCAGAATTTAAATTTCATTATTAACCTACCCAAATGCTTTTACTTGTGAGTTGTCCAGGTTCTTTACTTCTTCATACCAGCTTAGCATGAGTGATGTCAAATTATTTCTAAATTGATCTGAAGCAGCAAAATATGCGATATTTTGGCCCACACCAAATCGTTCTGAATTGGAGAATATAATTATTAACAACTGATAAGAGCTTATTTCTTTTATTTGAGGTAATGGTTGTTAAATTCTTACCAACATTCCGACATTGATCATGGCCAGAACCACATTGATCAGCCCAAGTTTGGGCAATTGATGCCACTTCTTCATCCCACATCTAAAAAAATATTGAACAATCAATATAAATACTGTTTCAAATTGTTTCACACTGTGAGACATGGAAATGTGAATAACTTCTATCCTAATAATGCTACGAGGTTGATTGAGGGCTTAAATGAAAGATGTGGATGAGAGGAAAAAAGTGCACATAGCTAAAATCATGATCGCAGGATGATTTATGCTAAAATTAAAGCAAGTTTCTGTTTTACCCCATTTTAGGGGTGAAAAAATAAGTTTTTCGAATGTTTGACCCGATTCCGCATTTCTACACATTGAGACGAGAAGAATGAGTGGTCGAACTCGAAAATCGGACAACTTTGATTTTTCGACCCCAAAAAATGGCAAGTGGTACCCCTTTCCATTTTTTTTGGCCAAAAAATAAAGGTACTCCAATTTTGATAATTGAGGGCTCATTCTCTTCGTCTTGATGTGTAGAAATGCGGAATCGGGGCACCGGTCAAGAAAATTCACTTTAACACCCTTAAAAACGGGTTACACTAAATACAAATTACGAATTATCATCCCCTTGACTTTAAACCCTTATAACTCATGAACGGACGGTCCAATAACCGTTTTTACGGACGTTTTAGAAACCTTAAAATCTAAGCTAAATATGTATATTCATACGAAACGTTAAAAAAATTTCCTTCATCCTTAAAATCGCTAAAATATAAAAAAAAATCACATTTTTTTGGGAAGTTGCCACATATTTCGGCCATTTTGAGGGTGAAATAAATTTTTTAGACGTTTTTCATGGATATGTATCTTTAGCTTAGATTCTAAAGTTTTCAAATACTTTTTGAAAATCATGATCTGATCATTATTTTACGAGTTATAAAGGTCTAAAGTCGAAGTAAAGATGATTTTTTGACCTTACTCCAACTTTGGACCTCTATAACGCGTAAAATAATGATCAGTTCATAATTTTCAAGCAATATTCAAGAACTTTAGAATCTAAGCTAAAGATACATGTCGATGAAAAACGTTTAAAAAATTTTTTTCACCCTCAAAATGGCCGAAATATGTGGCAACTTCCCAAAAAAATGTGATTTTTTTTTATATTTTAGCGATTTTAAGGATGAAGGAAATTTTTTTAACGTTTCGTATGAATATACATATTTAGCTTAGATTTTAAGGTTTCTAAAACGTCCGTAAAAACGGTTATTGGACCGTCCGTTCAAGAGTTATAAGGGTTTAAAGTCAAGGGGATGATAATTCGTATTTTGTATGTAGTGTAACCCGTTTTTAAGGGTGTTAAAGTGAATTTTCTTGATCGGTGCCTCGATTCCGCATTTCTACACATCAAGACGAAAAGAATGAGCCCTCAATCATCAAAATCGGAGTACCTTTATTTTTTGGCCAAAAAAAATGGAAAGGGGTACCACTTGCCATTTTTTGGGGTCGAAAAATCAAAGTTGTCCGATTTTCGAGTTCGACCACTCATTCTTCTCGTCTCAATGTGTAGAAATGCGGAATCGGGTCAAAAATTCGAAAAACTTATTTTTTCACCCTTAAAATGGGCTAAAACAGAAACTTGCTTTAATTTTAGCATAAATCATGCTCCAATTATATTTTTAGCTATGTGCACTTTTTTCCTCTCATCCACATCTTTTATTTAAGCCCTCAATGAACCTCATAGCATTATTAGGATAGAAGTTATTCACATTTCCATGTATTACAATTTTTCGCAAATATATCACTATTTAATTAATTTCAATATATCTATATCGTTTTTGCATGTAAAAACTGTTCAAAGTACATCTGGGTTGAGCGGAAAAATTGAAAAAAAAAATAATTTTCCACCATAGTCCCACGAGGGGAACATTTGGGGAACCTTGGAAAAAAAACATTACCAATGATTTCATATTTGTAGCTGGAGGTTGAGGACCAGGATTTCCTCTTTGTTCTTTTCCACTAGCGACAAAAGCTCTCCGATCATTGTGAAAATTAACAATTTCATCTCGCTGTTGAGAAGATAATCCTGTTTGAATCATAGTTTGATCACCACAAGCAGCAGCAGGAGCAGAATTCTATATTTTCATTAACAAAAATAAATTTTAAATCAAAATCATTTTTTCATCAGTTGAATAAACAAGTCATGATCTACAATCAGTTGAAACAACTTACATATTTACACTCGGTATGAGATCTATTTGGACACGATTCAAGATTACAATAATCTTGTGTTGATATTTCATTTATCAAGATACTGACAATTAAAAATAAAACAATAATACAATTCATTATTTTTTAAAAAATATTCAGCACTAAAAAATGGAAGGTTCAAAAAAATATTAGGCATTGAATACTGACAAGTTTAAGTATTGTATTGCTATTTATTTTACAATAAGAGGAAACATTTTACATAATAATGTCAATTCTCGACAATAATTATTCAAACAATTATAAACATAGTTGGTCTATTAACAATTTCATGATAGTGAATATCAACTCATAAATACAAAAATACGTTTTACATATAAATTATGTTCTTTATTTTTTTTTTTCAACTTAATCTACTCAAGTAATGAGAAACAAATAAGTCATAAGTAATTTGTCAAATCATGGATAATTACAAATCGCATAAAAATAGAGGAAGCAATAATTTATTTGTTAATTTCATATACTGGTCGACCAATTACATTACCAGTCGGTCCATAATTACATACAAGATGTGTTGTATACCAGTAATTATTTTTTTTATATCTAGTGCATCCACAACCTACTTGTTTTGTTTCAGCCCATACCATTTGAGTGTAGTGATAGACACGAGCAGTTGTAAATCTATGCATGATAAATCAATGACTTTGGTGTTTGTTAAAATATAAAATTATTCAGTAATAAGATAACTTACTGCAGTTTGTTAACCAAGTGTCTATTAAAATCTGCAACTTCATCGTACCACTGAAGAACAATGCTTGTCAAGTTATTGGGAAATACAGTTGAAGTACTGCTGAAGGCAATATTTTGGCCAACTTTAAATTGAGCTACATGAAGAATGAACAAATAGAAACAACTGGTATATTTATATTGATAATTGTTAATAAAAGAAAAAATTCTGTACCAAGATTTCGACATTGATCATGACCAAATACACATTGATTGGCCCATCTTTGTGCTACGATTGCTAATTCATTATTCCAAACCTAAGACATCATTATAATCTTTATACAATCTGATTATTGTGTTAATTAAAAAATCACTCATTTTACCAAAGGTCCAATATTTTTTGCTCTAGGTTGAGGTCCAGGACTTCCTCTTCTTTCTTTTCCACTTGCTACAAAGGCTCTTAGATGATTATGAACTCTTACCAATTCCAACACTTCATTTCTGGTCAATCCTGACTTGATGTACCTTCTGTTGCCACACCATGAAGAATACGTTGGAGACTACATTAATTTGATCATTATTAAGTATTTTTTAATCAATCGTTAATTATATAAAAATGATAAATAGCTTACTCTATATTTGCACATGGTATGACTATTGTATGGACATGAGTCAACATTGCAGTAGGATGTTGATGATGATACTTGATCAACTAAAATATAGCTTACTATTGATAATAAAAAACTTATCATTAACCAATTTACCATTTTAGAATATCATTTATTTATTTAAATTAAATTATTAACCAATATTTTATTCTTTAAGGATTAATTTTGAAAGACTTGAACTTAAAAATTGTGTCTTGCCACGAAGAAGGTGAAATAAATATTAAATTTCGTTGGCTTATTTCAAGACTGTGTTAAAAAAGATAACAACTGTATTATTAATGAATAATCTATTTTCGTGGCTCATGAAATAAACATTAAAGATAAGAAAAACTATTGATTCATACAAAAAAACGAACTTTATAATACAGAACAAGTAATCATTTAATATTATTGTAAATAATAAATAAATTATTAAATGTAAAAAAAGAAGGACTGAGTTGAACTTATTTTCTATGATCATATCAAAGTAGTATTTTATTATCAATAAGATAAATTACAAAGTATCTCTGATGGAATATGAACCTTTCTTAAATGAAGAAGAAAAAGAAGTACAAGACTAAGGGTTCATAAACGAAAATTCTCCCTTTCTCACTTGCTATTTCTTTATCACCATTCAGTCTGGACTCAACGCTCTCATCTCGTGTGTATAAACCAGGGGGGTGAATTTTTCCACGCCTTGATATGATTAATACTCGTCGTGAAGGCATAGAAAGAGGCGAACAGTAAGGGCGATGGTTGGCCTGTGGCGTATAGCAAATCCCCGTCAACCACATTCAATTACGATGTTATCGCGAATACAGATGACGGTTATTTCCTTCGGTACACCCTATATATAATGGCATCTCTAAGCGTTAAGTTCTAGACTGTAATATTGTTCAACTGTGCGATTGTTTTAATATTAAATCAGTGCCCTCATGTATACTTTTCTTATTTAGCTTAATCAAACTTGTAAAATGATTTTTAATTCCCCATTAGACAGTTATTGGAATAAAAACAGTTTTTAAAATTCGTATTCTAGTCATTTCCTTACATTTTGAGACATTTCGAAGCATATTAGAAGGTTTACAGATAAATATCCGTACGTACAATTGTACGTACGTATGTCTGGTTTTTTTTTTATTTTCGATATCTCGAGAACCACTGAAGATATTGAATCCAGACTAATTTTATTCGAAAGATAATACAATGAAGAAGATAGAGAATACCTAGACCCATTTTTTGTTTATTTTTAAACAATTTAATTTAGTCAATTATCACAAAATAACGGAAGTAATTTTGATAATAATTCATACAAAAATAATTTGCACCTGGATTTTAGTTAAAAATGATGATAAAAATATAAAAATAGGTGGAGATGAAAGAATGGAAGTATTTTTAGCGCGTGAATTATAAACTTTGCACTCGCTCGGACGGAAGAGCGACAGGACTGTCAAAAGCAGTGCGTTTTTCCGCGCCACGCGGCCGAGCTATAACGTAATTTCGCCGCGTCATTGCCAAACGACCGTCTCTCTTTCTCTCTCATTCTCTCATCCCTTTTACGTTTCATTCTGGTGAATATTTTCCGTGTGTCCGATCGCTTACAGTTTACAGAGATGCTTTTATTTAGCGATAGCTCTTGCAATCTGATCCCCTGGAGCGAACTGTTTGCAAATTATCAAAACTTGATAGTTCGTGTTGCATGCCAAACAAATTCCAAATTTTCTGATTTAGTTGTTCATTCAAACGATTAGTATTTTATTCAAATATTTCTTTTAGTGTTTATTCTCATTTGAAACATCATCAATTAATTTATTAACTGAATAATCATCTAGAAAATAAAATCACAACAAACTCAATTAAATAATGAAATGTTATTTTTAATTAACACATTATTTTAAAATATTATATTCTAAAATATTTTTGTTTTTTAATTAAATATTGACATCAGTAAATTGAGTAAATTCCAATACTTTTAATAAATAACTGCAATGAAAAATAAATTAATTGGAAGAGGAGAATTCAACGTTTTTCACGAATAATTAATCAAAGTTTTCAATATCACAAAATAATCAGTAAGTTAATATTGACTCAGTTAAATGGAAATTTTTATTTTTTATTAAAAACAATAATTTTCTTTTGAAAAGTCAAAAATCAAAGTTATATTTTAAAACACTAATAATAAAAACTAAAAAATAAAAAGAAAATTTTTTTTTTTTTTTTCAACGAAAAAAGTTAGTAAACATACTGTTGGATAATAAAAGAAGAATGATAAAGAAATCGAAAGCACGTAGAAAACATTAAAATTAACGACGTTGTAACTGAAGAACAATTCGCAAATCGAAACAAAAAATTCTGACAAAGTGCGAAAAAAGTACTTTTATATGTTTGAAGGCCATTACAAATGAAATTGTCGAGTGCAGTTGTAATCAAATACTTAAAACCAATGTGAACGTGTTCTGTCTTTGAACTGTGAAGGTTGTAAAAACGTTTGTCTTACCACCACACTTTTCGTAGCAATCCCAAGAGGCTCGTTTTCATACTAAAACTTACTTTCCTCTCGTTGTAGTTTCACATTTTATTCTCCTAGATTTCTGCATGTCTGTATAAAAAGCACCGTGATTATTTGGATCATTGATGAAGGTAATTTTTCGTAATTTTTTTGCCATTTTATAGTGAATAAAAATGTCACCAAGGAGTATCATAAGAAAAATAATTCGAGAGACTATGTCTTTAGAATATAAAGTCTAGATAATATATTCTTTAGGATGTATCTTGAGAAAAATACAAATTAAGACTTCTAAGCACGGATTTAACGCTTATTTATATCCCGCTAAGTGCTGGTATTACGGCGCATTACCGCTCTAACAGCCGGTTAAACTTTTTCTCTATCCCCTCAAGCTTTTGCTTTCCTTTACATCTTCTGTCTTTTTTCCGAACATCTTCGTAACGTATAATAAGCTATTTTCTGCTTCGAAAAGTTATTATACCCATTTTCCTAATTAAAATTGATAATAAAGTATCCTAAAATATTTTTTTACCATCCAAATAAATCATTTATCACAATTGCTATCATTTTATCATTAAAAAAAAACATTTTGCTTATTTACAACAATCTACACCTACTAATACTAACGTATGGCTTCTAAATGCCTAATATATAGGCATGTATGATCGTTAAATTTAACGTTTATTGACAGCGACATAAAATTTAATTAATCCAAAAGTGATTATGAGGAAAAGCATGCAAGTGCGTGAGGGTTAGTGACCATCACACTGATTCTATCACTACCAATCGCCCCATAAGCTTACGATGGCTGGTCATAACCCTTCAGGCCCCTTTTAACTTTACTCTATGGACCTGACATGGCAGCTGGACGTAGTTATACTTTGATCGGTTTTCCTTCATGACCCTCAAGGCCTATATTGATCTAACTACCATCCTGATGAGTGTAATCATCAAAAGCACGACTTTCTTATCATCTTTTTGGAGTTGAAAATATTTTAAGCTTGATAGAATGTAGATAGGAATTCATTTATCATTCAGTTATTGATCATTTGATGTGTCATAATATAATAGGAATAGGATTTTTTTGTTTTCAATCTAAGTTATTAAGTTAATCACATTTTACCTCACTAACGATCGCTCTTGGACCGATTACCACAAAGCAAACCATCTAACAAGACATTGTTCCCAATAGCTTAACCATTCTCTTGGTTGCCCAGGAACTTCTTCCCTCGTGTTCTCTTCATTGCCACATCTTGCGATAGCTATACACTCTCTGGACACAGTTAACAGCCTTGGTCTGGCGACGGTCGTTAGCAGCCATCCCCTACTTCTCATGTCTCCTTTGTCTTTTATACTGTCTCACTCTTTCAGTCAGTAGCTGGAGACCAGGCGGTGCTTCATAGTTTCCAACTAGAATCCTACTCCTTGATTTCTTGGCACACATTGAAATACAAAAACAAGAGGAAGCCTGTCTCTGAGGGACCGTTTTCGGGGTTTGGAATAGTAGCAGTTGAAACCGAGATGGGCTATTGACGGTCGGTGGGATCGTAACGTTAATTTGGATGACGATGGGATTAGATGAGATTATGGGTGAAGGGAAGACTCATTTAATCGAATGTTATATACTTTGAAAAATACACTGGGAAAACAATATTCCTAAATCAAGAATGATTTCATTCTTAATCATCATCATCATGTTGATGTGATACTAAGGTCATAGGGTGATTGGGATTAAAGATGAAATTGTTTTTATTCTAATATATTTTATAGAAATCAATGATCTGAATGAGTTCAATCTATTTCAAATAAAACATCAAGATTTTCTATTACAGTCAATGATATGAATATGAAAGAAAAATTATAAACAAATAATGATAAGAGAAAAGTTTGAAATTAATGTAAATTTTTAAGGTTGAATAAAAAAATTCCATCGGTTATTTCAGAGGTTTATTCCGTACTAAAAATGGAGGAAGATTAATTGGATTTTTTGTTAGATACTTTCCAAGAGCTCTCATCATTTTTTTCGAACTTGATGCATAGTAAAAGAACACGACGAGAAGAGGAATAAGTTGGGGGATGAAGAAGACAGGGTTGGTTGTAGTAGATGACAACAGCCTTATCGCGGGATCTTTAATTCCAACCACAAGAAGGGTGGCAGCCACAAACCACATCGTCATTTGTCCGCTGCATTGGTCTTGCTGGGGGGAGTTTGAAGACTTGTGCGTAAGGGTAGGTAAAGAGAAGACGAGGGAGATGCCTTGGAAATTGCCTCGACCGGATTCTATTTTGAAACTAGATTATTTTAGAGGTTGTCTCTTTTTCTCGGATGATTAATGCTATTTTTCGAGAGACTGAATCTCATCCCCTCAATATTTTGATCGATTTGACCAAAACTAATTTAACTGCCCTATTACATCACAGTTTGTTACTGAAAAATGGTTATTAATACAGTATGGCAAGTATTATTTGATCACAATTTTTTTTCTTTTTTGTAATAGAGTTTTTTTCAACCATCTTGTATCCATCAAAATAGTCTGTCGAATTAATCAATTAAATTACAATAATCATCAGAATTACATCACCTAATGCTTTCCTTGATATAAAAAGTTGTTAAAAAATGGAATAAATACTGTCTACATCAATTTATAAAATGTAATTGACTTGTTTATACTTGGAAAAATTATAATGAGATATGTTCTATAATAGGTAATTTGAATCGAAATTTATTTTATTTATTTTTAAGCTTATGCCATGATGTCAATAAATTTGAGGGCGCAATATGCCGGCGGAGGGTAAAACGTGCCAGGACGAGTTTTAAGGAGTTTCAAACCTCCCATTATAAAGTCTTCACCGAATATAATAACATCCGAGTTCGTGGGCTGGAAGACATTAGGGAAATCACGAGCGAGCGAACACTTTAGCTAGAGAGTGTAGAAGAGCGTTGAAGTAAATCGGTTAACTTTAACTGGCAACGGTACTACTTTTGCGATTTCGATACCATCCGACGCTTTATATTATATGGCCATAAATTATTTTCAACAATCTCCAATTTAAAATTGACTTCCAGTCGAGAGAAAAACGATTATTGATTTCAAAACAATAAATACAAGCTTCATTTTTCATTATTAACTTTTTTTTTTGCTAGAAAGATATTCCATGAAAAATCAAGTAATTAATTAAATAAAGTTTATTTTAATATTAAATTAAAAATATACATAAATTGATAAATAAAGGAATAAGTAATAGTCAATAATATTTATATTAATAAGAACGTATATTTTTTCATTTTTTCTTGGTATTAATGATACTATCGATCATAATTATAGATAATTAATAGTGCACTAATGATGAATTTATATACAATGATGAATAACAAAGAGTGCTTGACGCAATGCTAAAAGGACAACAATAATTTTTTTTTATTCTCACTTACATTCACACATTCACTATCACTCACATCATTTATTCGCATTTTATTTATACAGAGCATATTATTTGTACTGGATTATACAGAAAGTGAATTAACTTTTTTTGTCTTTGACTGAAAAAAAGTGTCCAGTGCATGATTATTGGTAGCGATGTTTTATTTGGTAATAATTAACATAAAGCTAAGACTAATTTATTTGAGTTTAAGATCATTGAGAAAACTGACTGGTATTTTTATTGAATTGATGCAAGAATATTGGATTTATTTATAATTATTTTCTAAACATTATCATATTATATTTTACATACTTTTATTATCCATACTTGAATTTTTATTGAAAATATTGATTGTCATTATATTAATATTATTGATGAAATTAAAAATTTTCTCTGTATGTATTTTTAAATATTTTTCAATGATTAATTTCTATACACATTTTGATGAATAAAAATAATAGATGAGATGATAAATAGTTATCGCTATTTTAGAATTATCTGAATTCGTTATAATTATATTTCATATATTTTAATTCATAATTTACAATAAAATAATAAATTTAAAAATTGAAGTAACGATTCGAAGAGATTTTTTGCATCAATTCAACAGTTTAATTGTTCATTATTGTATAATTGATTTTCTGATTAGAAAAGAATTGCCAATAATATGAGCATTTTCTTACAGTAAACTCTTTGGTATCAGCTGTATAAGACTTTCAGTCCGTAAGTCTCAATCGTATACTCCGTCTCTATTGCCCATTTTGTATTTAATTTAATGACTGATCGCACAACGATTTCAATGAAATTATTTACAAATGTGCGATTAATTCATTCACCTGTATCTCAAGTAGTAATCTTTAATTTTCGCAAAAATATCTTACATAAGCCTTGACTTTACTTTCTACCATTTATACAATTTTTTATCTTAGACTATCACTTTTGTCTTGTCCAATACACGATCACAGTGATCACGCGAAATAATCGCGATGAAGAAATTGCATTTTCTGTCTCATCAAATTCCAGCTAGGACGTAAAAAATGTCAACATTTAAATCAGTATCATGAAGCAGTTCCAATATACTGATTTAATAGCTGTCGAGACATCGAAGCTTCTTTATAGGTGGTAGGGCCTCGTCTCAGCTGGTTGGTGCAGGCATTGATAGCGGTGGAGGCTTTACTCCACCTAATCCAGGTCCCGAAAGGCCATTATTATTCATATCACCTGGTCCTCTTGGTCCTACAGACATATTACCATTTACTGTTGGTGGTCCCCCTGTTGGTATTTGGCCCTGTAATTTAAAATATCATTGCAATTAATTTTTTTAATGATCATAGAATGTTATTACTAGAAAATAAAAACTCTGTACTCGAAATGTTATTGATAAATATGAAGTTTGGAGTTAAATAATTTACTTACATTGACATGGTTATGTTGTAAAGATTGTCCAAGAGATTGTGGTGGATGGCCTTGATGCTGAATCTGATTATGACCAGGGTGAAGGTTTTGATTAACTCCTGGTGGAGTTGGTGTTGGTGGTAATTGTCTCTTTATATGTGCTAACGATGCAGGAGGATGAAGAGCCATGTTAGCAAACACCTGTCTTTCCTCGTAATCATATTCACAAAGAATTTTGTTCTCACAAAGATAAAACCTATCTCCCACACAAAATCTGTAAATAAAATTACATCTTATTTTCTAGATATTTTATTAAAAAATAAATAAATATATTTGTACTTAATATTCAATAAGCTTGATTATTCATTGAAAAGAAAACAACAAAGAATTAGTTAGAATATATTTTGAAAGCTTAAGAAAATCTTCAAGTGAATGTAAAACAGAAAATATTGAAGAAATGCCGATAACAAGAGTGAAAAGTGGACTTGTTGAGAGAAGGTTTGATAATTACGAAAATCATCAGAAGCGGCAATTAAACAAAGAGGGTCAAGAGTATTTGAGCTTGGCTTCGACGAAAATGTTTCGACGTCATTTAAATTGTAAATGAATTTGGCCGCTCTTGTAAGTTATTATGAGACGACTCTCAGAAAAGCTAATTAGCCAAGTATTTTCTACCTCTAGAGATCAACGCACAATTGACGATCCCCAAGCCGATTGACAAAGACAATTAGCCGTAGTGAAGTTTAAAGCTGTTGTGGAGTAAAGCTAGAGTAAATGCAGAAGCAGGAGGGAGCATCAGCGTGTCGAGTAAATAATTATTATCGGGATCGCGTCTGTTTGCAGGCATCATAAAGAGAAAGATGAATATAATGTGCAGTCTCGTAACGGGACGAGCTTTGATCCAGCCGGAAATGCGACTGGGCTGGCACCAAGCAGATATTCATAATCGCACGGCAAATAGAATTATCGCATTGCACGTACGCTCATTCCGGGTTTGCGCTCGCCCATTATGATTCACGTTTGTCTCTTTCATATGAGCGAATTAACGAGAATCCTTTTTAGTTGGTGGCTCTGCTTTCGTGCGATACTCACACATTTACTAATCTTTTGTCTCTCTTTGAATTATCTCACAAATTATGGAATATTTTTATCACTTGATCAAATTCATTAATCAATTTATTTAGAAAAATAATTCCCTCTTGTAAAAGACTCGATTCATTTTGACTTGATGAATAATATTATTTAGCACAAAGTATCAATTTAAGAAGTCAACAATCAAGAAATAATAATTAAACGTGAAGAAATGTATACATTACAGTACAAAAGAGTAAAATATCTGAAACAAATTGTCACAGGAAATGTAATGATCAAAAGACACGATGACAGAGTTCTATTGAATAGTTAACGAAGACCTACAGAAAATAGAGGAAGTTTCCTATGTTTGTCTCTCCTGTTTCAAGTCTCTGCATGGAAAATTTCAATCTGGCCGCACTCAGATAACTCAGGTAAATCTTTAACGAGGGTCCTTGTATCGCTGGAGCGTGCAACAGAGAAAGAGAATTTTCGTGGTCACCAAATGACGCGCGGATAGGGTAGATAGAGTCAGAAGCGGATGAATAAATAATTAGAATCGTCGAGTGCCAATGTGCGACCCCATTAGGAGCGTTTTACTGCTCTAAACTTGGATACATAGGAAGCAATACAGTGAAAAGACAGACTTTAGCTAGAGCTGTCTTCCAGGAAGCTATGTCGTCATTAATTCTTCTAAGCAGAAGCTTTTACTTCAGATCGATGAAATTTATTTTTCATACAAATGTCACAGTGTCTATAGATGAAATGTTGACATTAAAAATGAAATACGAATGAAAATTTGATCAAAATGGTATATTTATTAAAGAGATTGATTTAACGACTCGTATGAGTCTAGCAAATGATCGTAGGGTTACTCTTTAATTAGAGTGGCCGTTAAATTAGAGCGAATGTCTTTTTAGAAGAGTCCCCGCGAAGAGCTAATTGGATCGGTAAATCATCCTGTAACCAGACTGCTGGGGGATGCAAGGAGCTAGAGGCTAGTGAGACTTGGTAGCGCGAGGCAACCCTTTATTCCTTGTTATTACAGTCTAAAGTTACCCCGTGTAATTGTTGCTGTTTAATTGCAAGTTCCAAGTCGTCCACGTTTTCCTCTCTTCTCTAACCTTTCCGAAATCCCACCATAATTGTGGCTTTGAGTTGCCTGTCCATTTACAAAAAGTCTTTTCAACTTTATTCGAAAGTTGAAATTCTAGTGTTTATTATTGATATAAAGAATTATTTGTCGAATAGAAAATAGTTGAATCATTTAATTATTTAAGAAGAAGAGTGATATTGACATTATTATTAAGGATATGATATTTATGATTTATAGAGACTATAAACATCGTCAAAATGATTTTACTTAGTTCTATCTTTCTTCACACCCCTCCAGGGAAATCGATATCACCCTCGAAATATCGACAGCCTTCATAACATTGTTTTTCTTCACGAATCTTAAGGGTAGTTTGGAATCTCATACGATGAGCAAAAAAATGAGCATCCCTTATCTGTCGTGTGTTCTTTCATCCTGAAAGAATCGAGCTATCGATTTGTTCAAGTCGTAACGTGAGTAATTGTCACGAGACGGTGAGTAAAAGAGACAGATAACAACGAAGACATACAAGAAGAGTAGAAAAAAAAACTCAAGATATCAAAGAGTTCTCGCGGTTATAAGGGGAAACACGTATGACAGAGGGTGGTATTGTTAACGATAGACAATGAACAACGATAAAAACGTAAAATTGATGCTCTTTTGTGTTGAAGAGTTATACACATTTATACTTCGTTTAAATAATCTCAAATATTTCAGTTAAATATTGACTCTGTCGGTAATTGAAAATTTTATTTACATATTAATTGTTTACTATGAATATAAATGTAATGAGATATAGAAAAAAAATATTTGTTATAAAATGATAGACATTGTAAAAAAAAAATTTACAATATACTGAATAAAAGCCTGAGGGAAATCACATAGTGTGAAGGATCGTAGATATAAAATAGTAAAATATAAAATGAAGCATAACTTTTGAATATAAAACAAGAGATTGACCATCATACTCTGTAATAACAATAAATAAAATAAATTTTTTTGTATTACAAGACAATTGCTTACAATTGAACATAAAAATGTCAACGGGGTACGAATAATTACATAAGTGATCCCAGACGATGGTCTGTGATACTTGAGAATCTCGAATGGAGAAAATAGAGACTTGATGAGAATCGAGAAAGACGATGCTCGAGAGAATGGAGAGGAAAAAGAGTGAGAGAGGATGATTTCCCAATTGACCTGTAAAGCAACCCTCCGGAGTGGACTGTGTCTCGCGACCAGCCGTGTCTCTTTTTGCGTATATATTACTGTCTTCCTGTTCCCGTACTTCTTGGACAACCAGTTGGGTCAAATGAAGAAGAGAGAAAGAAAAAAGGTAAAGTACATGCCAACGATTGTCTCATCTCTCTATTTTACATTAATTCATTCAACAGTCAGTCTAAGAACTAGACTGATGGAGTCGAAACACCATTATGTGGACAATTAAACTTGAACGATGAACAAAAAAATTAATTTAAAAAAATAAATGCTTCTTAAAAAAGATTGGTAATTATATAGTATTACTTCGTCACTTTCGATTTGTGTAAACACCTTTTATACACTTAGAAATGCATCAAAAGTACACGCAGAAAAATGTATAGTAAAAATTACCCTGAATTTTATGGTAATTTGGTGACACTGCAGGGTGAGGGTAAAAATTACTGTGCACATTGTAAAAAGTACTAAACTACATAGTAATTTTTACCCTAAAAATGACTATGCAGTATGGTAATTTTTAGAATGTGCACAGTAATTTTTAAAATGTGTATAGTAATTTTTACCCTCACCCTGCAGTGTCACCAAATTACTATAAAATTCAGGGTAATTTTTACTATACATTTCTCTGCGTGTAACTACCATGTTAATCATAATTTGAATAATTTTTTCATCTGTTGGGTTGTGTCTGTCTATTGATCTAGTTATTCTACTTATTTATTTGTTTTATGATGCATAAAAAAAAATAAAACGATAGAAACTCACCGATGATTGCACTGCTGACAAGCAAAGCACTCCAAATGGTAAACGTTCGCTCGTGCTCTCATCACCATTTCGAATGCAGGGATGATTTTAGAACAGGCTGCACAGTGGCCTGTGTTGCCAAATAGCCTTAGGTAATCTCTTTTGCAGAGAATTAGGTTAGCTTTTGTGTACAATGTGGATCCCACTTCTCCTAGCCGACAGTCACAACAGCCACATTTTAAGCAGTCTTCATGCCAAAATAAATCTAAGGCCTTTAAAAGATACCTAGAAGAATAATTTTATTTATTTTATTATAACATTAACATGGTATTCGATGTCATCATTTTAGATTTAATATTATTATAAAAAAAAAAAATGTATTTAAAATAAAATGATTTGAAATTTACCTTTCCGTGATGGTTTTACCACATCCAGCGCACATTTCTTGCTGCGCTGAACCATTTTTATTTGTCTCCGATTTACTCACGTCCATCGTCATGGTGATTGAATCTACTCCGCCTTCTGAAACACCAAAAAATATAAAAAAATAAAATAAATTGATTGTAATTACATTTTATCGAAATTAAGTATAAATTTGGTAATAATTCAACTGTTTTTATTTTACAACCAATACAAAATAAAGTGATTGTAGATGTATTTTTTTGTTCTAAGGATAGAAAGAGAATGAAAATAAAAAAGGAAATGTAAAGAATTGAGAGTTGTTTTGAAGTTGGCAAGAAGAATACATATAGTTTCTCTCGTAGTGGCGCCATTCATTGCGGGCTTTCTCGATCCTCTCACACTACTCCATCAGGATGAAATCCTGTTGGACCGGATGGAAGCGGAAGTGACGCATTTACTTCAAGCTCGTAGAACTTTCGCGATTTGTAAAGGTCTTTGTGCGGTCCTGAAATATGTATACTTTTGAGAGAACAAGAGAGAAGTAAAAATAATAAATTATCGACGCCCAAATCGTGCCGGTCGATTAAACTTCGAAGAATCGTGGTAGAATTTTGTACGAGTGTCTAAAAGTAACTACTTGAAAAGCAAACAAAAACTCTAAAGTGTGATGGATAAATTTTATTTTCACCATTAGAAAAAAATTCTCAAAACAAACGAAATAATTGTATCCATTTATTTAATTAAATATTATAAAAAAGGAGTCTGAACGCAATTTGTATCTCATTTATTAAAATTCATAATTTTTTCATCTTTTAGTTTTTTTTTTTTTTTCGTTTGTAATGATTTACTTTTATTATAAACAATATACAATTGTTTAATGACATAAAGTTATTTATAATAATATTTTAATAATATTTATCGAATATAATCATAGTTATAATAATTTAATAAATAAAAACGATTTTTTATTATTTATTTTACAGGCTTTTCATTATTAAAAAAAAAAATCAGCTGATCCGAATTTGATTAAACATTTAAATATATCAAAACGTAAAGATATGATAGAATTATGAATAACGATATTTAATTTAATTTTATAAAAAATAAATTAAAATAATTATGATCAAGTCATGATATCACAATATGAAACTATTGTCTTACAATTTCCAACTTTTTCTTTTCGCTTCTTTAAATTCATTTATTTCCTAAACGTCCGTCCCCGTTGGCTATTTTATATTTGACATTTTTATTAAACCAACTCTACCCCGGAGCACGTCGCGTCCAAAACGACTGTTACTATATACGCCAGAGCTCGACGGACGTCTCCTGTCCTATATCGTTGATAGGGTATTTTCGTAATCTCTTTTTTCTCTTCTTATATTATTTTTTGATTCCCCTTTTATTCCTTTTACACTTTAAAAAAATATTCTAATCTATTGACCAAATTGAAATGATTTGATATCCATCTATCTCTATATATACAGGTAATAAAAGTGGAAGTACATTTATTCAATATCTAAAAATCCAACTCTCAGTTCACCAATGTTTCAAACCCTACCAAAGTCTCTCTTCAAAATTCAGAGGCCAATTAACGCTCTCACGAGCTTTAAAAATGAAATCCACGAACTAGAGGAAATAAATGAGGCCTTCTAGCTGCTAAGGGTTGCAATTATATTTGAAATTTCACATTTTTTTATATTTTAATTTTTCACCTCACCCCACCTCACCTTATTTCCTCAGACTTTTTTTTCCTAACAGAACCACGCGTGGCCGCGTCATTAACGCCATCTGAGGGATTGCAGAGGGTGGGAGGTGGGATAGAAAGCACACAGTAGAACTGAGGTACATGAAGAAGCCACGGGCAGAAGGTGGAGATGCAAGGGGAATGGCGTTTATAACTCGCATGGGTCTCTCGGCTCTGAGAAGGCCAATTAGCAGCATAAAGCTGGCTCACTACCCGGACTTTCGAGGGGTGGGATGTTTGTATGTAATAATGGATTGTTACTCAAAGTATCCGGCTAATTAATTAAGCTCCACCCCCTTGCTTCACTTCCGGCGCATAACCACCTCGTACACAGGATTCATGTGCTGTGTCTCATCCACTTCGTCCTCTAGCCTACAGTAAACTCATATTCTACGTAACACCTATTTGTTCCTAGGACCATACTCACCAAACTACCTCTTATTAACGTCTTCGTACACAACTTCTGCACCTGACATTCCTCCATCATCATAATTATCATCATCTTGCTATTTATTTATTCAATAAATCATTTCAATTGTTATTACTTAAGATAAATATGACAAAAATATTTAAATAAAATCAGTAAGTCTGTCTATTATATTAAAGATAAGTATTAAAATTAATTAATTATTTAGCAAGTTTGCGAATATTTTAAGGGTTAAAAATGTGAGGTTAAAAAATGTATGGACGTTAAATTTCATATATCTTTTTTGATTAGTGAATAAATTTTTTTCCGCTAATTTACGTAGTCTCTACAGCTAGTAATAATGATTCAGGAGTGAAGATCGTGTATCATTATGCCTACAATAAAGCCGAGTGACTGCTAATTAGTCATTAGCGTTGGAAAAAGACACCTCGTCGACGTCAACTATGCTCGTGTTTGGAACTAGACTAGTGGCTGCAGTAGTAAAGTAAAGTAAAGTCAGCCAGTGCACGCGGGGGATGTCAAAAACTTGTGCTAACAGGGTGTAGCTTTTATTCCTGCGTCTAATTGGACACCACGACATAAGTTTAACTAATTGAGACTAGCTACTGCGATATAACTTAATTATATAGACCTAAAATTTCGACTATTTTATCAAAGAATTATATAAACATATTCATGATTATTATTTTTCGTTTGAACATTGAGAAAAATATTTTTCTCATTTAAACAAAAAAATATCTAGAGATATATAAAAAAATTACATTCTCATAAACTCTTGTTATTTGTTTTTAGTTTTATTTTAAAAATAAATGATTAAATTAGGAAAAATAAATAAAATTTTGGTGTATTTATATGACTTGTGTACAAGGCAGGAATTTTAAAGATTGTGTATGTCTCCCTCAGGAAGCTTGTTAGGCGTCGCCTGAGTTCGCTATCTTCTAATTGGCGATATAATGATCTTGAAGGATGAAATGCCGTAGTTCTGAAGAGCTTTAAGGGTACACGAGGAATAAAGAGTCATGGGGAAATGGAAAAAGAGTACCCTGTGTACCTCATGTATCCACCCTTGTTAAGAGAAAATTAAAATTCGGCTCGTTCTTACTCTCCTTAGTACCTTCTACATTCATTATACGTACTCCAATTTATTTATTCCTATTTTTAAAACTTCTCAAATCCCTTATCCTTGACTCTAATCAAAGTCAACAACATTCCAGACTTTTATTTTTTAATTTATTTATTTAATATATATTTTTTAATGTTTCTTTATGTATTTACTTGATTTCATTTTTACTATTTTTTCTTGATTTATTTTATTTTATAGCTAACAGTAAAGGATAGAAGTACTTCTTTCGTGAGCTAATCTTCATCACGATCCAATTAACGATAACCAAGTCAAAGTCTTAGCTTCTTGGTCAGTTAGAAATTAGTTCTCGGGCGAGTATCGTGAGAAAATAGAAGTGAAAAGAGTAAAAAGTGAGTACAGTTTCGTAGATCATAGAAAATAGAAGAGATTTAACCTATTAAACAATTATGTGGATTTTTTTTTTAATTGAGAAATTTTTTTTCTATAACAAACATTACTATTATGCATGACAGATAAATAATTTTAAATAATTTTTAGAAAGCTTTAATTAATAAAAAATAGTATAAATTAAATTAAATAAAATCGTAAATAAATAAAAAATGTTAATAATATTTACTTAAAATGAAAAATTGCAAATATGAATTATGTGTGATTGTAATATTACAGTCCAAGATTTTTGGGGTTTGCCAAAAGCAAAGTAGGATAGCCAGCAAGAAAAACTACCCTTTGGTATGCGGAAAAAGGGGTCGGAAATATGAGAGGATGACGGAATTCAATTTAAACTTATTTTTGTTCTTACAATATCTGAAATGGAGAATCTAAATATAATGTTGTAATAAAAATTTAAAATTACTTTTCTAACAACTCAATCACATTGAATAATTCTTGATGAACACTGTTAAAAAATTTATTGTTATCATAAAAACAAATAATAATAATTTTGATATCTTTGTTGTGATTTTTTATTTATCAATGTGACATTTACTGAAGAAAAATGACAATATTTTCAAAAGAAAAAAGATTCAAGTAAGAGTAAATTGTTAAATTGACATTGTGAAATCGAAGTTTTTCCAATAGCTTTTCAGAGAGGCAATATTCATAAATCACCCTTATACTCTTAGAATAAGCGTCCTAGCGTTGTCTATAATAAAAAGAAAAAGGAAAAAATGAAGAAAGAGAAGGGTAACGGTCAGTCTTAAAGAAGGAATAAAGAAAAGAAAAAGTCTTAAGAGAAAAGGGGTGGAAGGTCTGAGATTCTATTAAGATCTCAGTAAGTCTTGTTACACGGAAAGAAGCTACGCCGCAAATCTCGCAATAAAACAGCCCGTAGTATAACACCGATCTGCTACACCCCTTCCAACATCTATTTCAACCCCTCACGCAGTAAGAATGAAAGGAAAACCTCACGTACTAACATAACTAACGATTTATCGATTAAATCAACCATCTTAAAATTATTTTATTTATTATATAAAATTATTAAAATCTATATTAAATCGAATTCTTTTATTATCTTATTTTATTCATTTGAGAGAAAAAAAAAAACTAACTCAAATAAGACGATGGTTTTTCTATCTTTTAAAAAGATCATCGTGACTTCTCGTGGCTTAGGCGGAAATAAGATGGTGGCTGAAGAAGAATAAAATCAATCAAAACATTAATTGAAAGAGTCGAGAAGACAATAGTCTATCCATCCCTTGAGCTATTGGCTAACTCAACGTTTGTTGAAGCTACAGACGGATAGTCTTGATAATCGAAAGATATCTCGGCCAATATCCTTAGCGAAACGCCAACAGTGAATGAGTTGGCAAAATTTTTTTTTTTTTTAAAATAAAAACAAACTTTCTAAATCATCTTGCTATATA